GCTGAGCAAGGTGAAATTGGAGTTGCAGAGCTAATTCTTCAATAAAATAGTGACAAAATCCTTTAATGTTAGGTCTATTTGTAAACTTGTAAACTTGAGTATATATAGGAATTAAGGCAGTAGTAGTCATTATGTTTGCATTGTGAGGAATTTTGTAAAAGATATTGTTAATCGAAAGTTACCTATCGTTGAGACTGATTGCTTCAAGATGTCAAGTTATTCCTTGTTGCCAGAGTTAATAAAAAAGACTCAAGCTTTAATTTTTTTTCTTACATTGTTATTACAAATTTGGTCTTCAAATATCATTCTATACCAAATGACACACATCGACTCCATCAAAGGGATGAGCTTGAATCCCCTAACATAGTTCTATCAGTTAATAAAAGGGATGAGCTGTGACCTCAAGCTATAATTAACATATCTCAACCATACCTTGTTGCTTTTGAAAGTCCATCATAAAGGGACAATTCTTTGATAAAGTAATTTACTAGTCTCAAGCAATTTAGCATAAAGTTGAATACATTGGAAGCCCTTTTGTTCTAAACTCTCCATTAAATTTTCACTCTAAATTCAATTATCTGGGTTTTTTAATATCAAATTTGATTTAGTGGTATCATCCCATTTACTAATAACAAATCGCCTACCATTTAGCACACCTTAACTCAGTAACTTCATTTTAACACACACCTAGCTTTCCCTCTTTCTGCACAAGGAGTATAAAAAGTAGTCTGTACTAGTCAATAATTTAACACATAAGAAAATCAAGCACCTAAGTTGCATTGGCCCTACAATAGTATTATGCCCATATACAAGTAGCTTCCTTGGAAATATTTAAAATGCATATGTTTAATCAAATTCAAATCAAATTTAACATTTGTACATGACTGCACGAATTTAACTTCATCACTGCTTAAAGTTCATGATTAAGTTCAAAATGTGGTCATAATAACTTGACTTTTCACTTGTATATGATTAAGTTCATATACGGAGTATTTTGTATAAACTAATTGAAACCCAAATCCAAAATCTTTCCAAAAAGAAAAAACCACCTTAATTAATTGTATCATCAACTAATTGCAATTATATATATACCCACTCCTTAACAAATGCATAATCACCGCAAGCAGCAACCAGAAGTTAGATAATTTTTAGTAATTCAATCAATCATAAAGCTAACCCAGAAACATAACCAACAAAAAAAAACGACAGAATTAACACAACCCAGAAGATATTTATATCTAAAAATCAGATCCAACATCAAATCAACCAGTTAAAAAGATTAAATTCACTTGGGAGATAAAAGGGGCAATGGTAACTTACAAATGAAATTCAGAAAACAACGACAACTTTGCCGGCATCAAAACCAACTAGCCAATCATAAAAGCAAAGGAAGCAGTGTGAGTAGAGAGCAAAGCAACTAGTTAATTACAAAACAGATACTTTATCTCTTAATTAACTCTCACCTGAGTAGAAATAAAGGAGGTGAGTAATCGATTGATGGATATGATGATTTTAAGGTGATGAGTGTGTTGTATAATGAGATCAACAACTGAAAAGTGGAGTAACTGCTGATTCATAATGAAAAAATTTTGGAGCCAAAAATAATTCACCATTTCGCGGGTTTGGAGAAAAAACTGGGGTTGAGGAGTTGACGAGTTGAGGATGATGGGTTTTATTTTTAACTAATTTTTTTTGGGAAATAAATGTGGAGTATCATAATCTCTAATAATGAGAAGATACCGACTCTGGTTCTTCACTTCTTCTTCATCTTTTTTTTTTTTTATTTTTTTATTTTTTTTTGTTTTTTAAATTATTTTTAAAGTTTGGTTGAAAGATGGTTCTTCACTTCTTTGTAGATTACTTGGGAATAAACTAGGGGATCTTACTTGGGTGGGATTAAAAAATATCTTAATGAAACAAAGTTGTAATGTGATATAACAAATAAATTAAAATGGCTAAAAGTTGCAACTTGCTAGTTTGTGGATGGTAATCTATTATTGGGATAAAAATAAATTCAAAATAAAAACCAAACTATTTTTCTTTTAGGAAAAATATAAATAAAATAAAAATTGGATGTACAATAAATATTGTATATTTGTATTAATATTTTCCTAAAGTGATTATTAGTTAGTCTACTATGAAAAAATATTATCCCCCAATATAAATAAAATGTTGTGTATGTTCTAATGCTAAATTTACTCTATATAAACCGATAAAAATTAAAGGTTTGTCAGTAAAAGTAACTATAATATCCTATAAAACTTATTTCAATGGCAATTTACATTAAAATCTTATCGGCTTCAAAGTTATCCAAGAAATTAAAAGTTATCCAAAATTGCAAAAAAGTTACCTTACTGAACTATTTCAAGTTTCTCTAAAGCATATTTAATTTTATCTAAGCTTACGCGAGCTTATTTTTTGTAAAATAAGGGGAATAAAATTGAACACAATAAAGTCTTGTTTGTAATAATTTTTGACGAAGTTTTATACAAATGTAATATTGAATCGAAATCAGCAAAAGTGTAATCAAGGAGACCCAAAATCAACTGATATGAAATAGACCCACCCAAGCCCGTGTTGAACCTAATACTCCAATTTCAATATTATTAACCAATACGAAGTTAATGGCTTTGCTCAAACCTGACATGGACCCGATAGTTATTGGCCCGACTAAAAAATGATCTGACCCAAACCGGGTTGTTTAAAAGGGTAACCTTGACCATTATGACAATCTATTTTTAATTATACAAATGTGAAAGTCAAGTTATTATATAGAATAAAAAGAATCATATAGTGAGTTTTACCATTAAGTTTTATACACATGTGAAAGTCAAATTGTTTATTATGCTAATAAGTTTTATAAAAATGTTAAAGTCAAACTGTTTTATTATGTTAATAAGTCTTATGCCGATTTCACCAAATTTAATCCCAACTGATTCTAGTTTGACAATCATAAACTTAACCCGACGCAACATCGACCTATACAGATATTTGATGAAATCTAAACTATTTTGAGCCGATTTGATGTTAGCCCATCTTGTTTTCGAACATAACAAGTTGAATTGACACGACTAATCTAATCCAAACGGATCAAGTGGATTAAAATGGTAACTTTGACTCATTATGATCCAATCACTACATGGTCAACCCGTAATTGAATTGATATGATATAACCAGTTGATACTAATCATGTTCTTATATAATCGACACAGTGAAACTTGACACATATGCATTACTTTGACTTTAGATAAATATGATTTTATATTGGTAAAAAATATTAACAAGTTGAGATTATATTATAAAGCTTTATTATATATCACGAAGTAATACCTATTTAAGAATATATTTCATGATAAAATTTTATTTTTATACGTTACTAAAAATGATGGTAAAAATTAGCATACAAATAGTGAAAAAATTCAAAGATGTCATCTTTACTCAATAGATCTTGACTCGAAATTGACAAGACCTGATCTAACCCAAGATGAATGAGGTGGATCAAAATGGTAACCACAACAAAGGCTATGGTTCCATCTCGCCTTGAGAGAAATTTGACTTGTTATGACTCGTTCCGTCAAGGGTAAGCCCGTAATTGATACAATATTTCAAGTTGACAACTCTACCTATAACTAATAGTCAACTACTCATTCATTATTACACACTTATTCATCTAACCATCACTAATCATACTTTATTTAAGAAAATACACTCCATAGTTAACATATAGAGTATAATTTTTGTTGACACAACATAGATTATAATTGATAATAACATATAAAGTTTAAGCTCATGATTATCTCTTTCAAAAAATCTAATCATGATTTAATAAATGTATATTCCCCTCACAAATACTTCATACTATATTATGATTATTATTTTTATTATTATTAGTAGTAATTTTTTTTGACATTATTATTATTATTATTATTATTATTATTGAAGATTGGCTTGAAGGTAATGCTTAGTAGGAAATTTTTGGATTTAGCATCTCTTGATTTAATACTCAGTAAAATATAGCAGTGTTCTTGTATTAAAAGGAAAAAGAAAATTTCATTTAAAAAAAAAAAAAAAACAAAACAAACCCAATTAATTCGTTAGTAGGTGGCAGCCACAAAATAAAACAAACCAACCCATAACAAACTACTTCCCACAAAATCAAATAATTCAATTACCGTTCTAACTTTTCATTAAAAATAAAAAAATAAAAATAAAATTGTTAACCATATTTCCCAAAAAGTCAAACAAACCCTCATTACGAAACCAAAAGATTGTCTCAGTGCTAAAATTCTATTTTGATTACTGTTTTCTGGTATCAAATTGCAATTTATTGGAGTATATTCTAGATAGTATAGATTGTTTGGTATCATCTTGCATGGAGTAGATTAAAGATAGCAGCTTGTGGATTGAGGAAGAAACAAAGACAAGTAAGTTTGGCAACTCGACTCAACTAGCAATTTTAATTTCATAGTATGTCAGGCTATAATGTGATGTATGGATAATATATTTTCTTCATTCTATTATTCATTAGTTGCTTGTTGCAATTCTCTTTGGCTGTATCGGATGTATAATAGAATCTGATGTTTAATGACTATAATCTGATATATATATATATATATATATATATATATATATATATATATATATATATATATATATATATATATATATATATATGGTATTGTTAGGTGCTTGTTACCATTCTCTTTGGCTGTATCTCTTTTAGGGTGTGACTCAATTGTCGTATTGTGAGATTTGTGACCTTTAATTTATCTAATTTTTAAAGTTAATACTTTTTCTTTTTTCATCAGTAATCCTTGCTTTGTCCCCAATACTATATAAATTGTTGTTGTTATAAAAATTGTATATGCATTTTTATTGCAGAAAGTTTGTCTTCTTATTTTGTTTTAGCCATTCCAAGAATTCATGTCAATATTTGTCTCCTAGTTTATTACCTTTGTTGTTGATCCTCCATATAACTTCTTATGCTATAGAGTATTACAATGGCAAACATCAACAGAGATTGGATTGATGCACCCCACAGTGCCGAAGAATATATCAAAGGAGTTGAGAATTTTCTAGATTTTGCATTTCTAAATTCAACCTTGGACATAGAGAAAGATGATGAACCGGAAATTTTATTCCCATGTATGAAGTGTGTTAACAGATTCTGGTTCCCAAGGGAGGAGGTTTTCAATCACCTAATTGCTAACAAATTTAATAAGAGGTATAAAGTGTGGAACTTTCATGGCGAAGGATTGACAACATGGTCTTCTTCAAGGGGAGATGGGCATCAGTGTGATAATCAAAACACATTAGACAATATTGATGAGATGATTAATGATATTTTCAGAGATGTTATAGGAGGTCAAGCTCCGAAGCAGAAGAACTTCGAAAGGGTCCTGATGAAAGTGCTAAAAAGTTTTATAAATTGTTAGAGGATGCATGAGAGGAATTATATCCAAGCTGTAAGGATTTTTCTGTTCTTTCATACACAGTGCGACTCTATCTACTTAAATGCCTTAACGGGTGGAGCAATTCTTCTTTCGATGGGTTGATGAAGCTTCAATGTGCTGCCTTTCCATTTGCAAAGCTTCCCACTTCTTTTCATCATGCTAAAAAAATGGTAAAGAACCTTGGACTTAATTACAAACGAATTAATGCGTGTCCTAATGATTGTATGTTGTATTGGAAAGAACGTGCAAATGACAAGTCTTGCCATGTTTGTAAAGCTTCTAGGTGGAAGTTAAATGAGAAGCAAAAAGAGGAAGGTGCATTGCCTAACGAAGGAGTTCCTGCAAAAGTTCTGCGTTACTTTCCTCTTAAACCTCGTCTACAAAGGTTGTTCATGTGCTCTAAGACGGCTGAACTCATGACATGGCATGAAACTGATCGCAAGAAAGATGACAAATTAAGGCATCCAGCTGATGGACAAGCTTGGAAAGATTTTGATGTTGCACATCCTCAATTTGCAAGTGATTTTCAAAATGTGAGGCTGGGTCTTACTACTGATGGTTTCAACCCATTCAGAACTATGAGTGTGTCATATAGTATTTGGCCTGTTGTTTTATCCATTTATAATTTGCCTCCTTGGTTATATAATAAGTCTGAGTACAATATCATGTCTTTGATTATACCTGGTCCTTCTAATCTAGGTTATGACATTGATGTTTACTTGCAACCATTAATCGAGGAATTGAAGGAGTTATGGGAAGTTGGAGTTGACACATATGATGCTATGAAAGATGAAACATTTTCTTTAAAGGCAGCCTTGTTATGGACAATCAGTGACTTCCCTGCTTATGCAATGTTGTCCGGATAGAGCACCAAAGGAGAATTTGCCTGCCCGAATTGCAATCATAAGACTTGGTCTAAATACCCGAAGTATAGCAAGAAAATGTGTTACATGGGACATCGTAGCTCTTTGAAAGAAAATCATCCATGGCGTCGTAATAAGAGAGCTTTTGATGGTAATGTAGAGACAAGGCCTCCTCCTTCTGCTAGGTTTTAAAAGATTTAGAAGGGTTTGAAAATAAGTTTGGGAAAACTCAAAAGAAGGGCAGAAAGAAATTTCCTTAGAAGAAGAAATCAATTTTCTTTGAGCTTCCTTATTAGGAAACTAATACCTTGCGTCATAATCTTGATGTTATGCACTTTGAGAAAAATATTTGTGACAGTGTGCTCGGTACTTTTCTTGATATCCCGGGAAAGACTAAGGACCATGTGGCAGCCCGCTTTGATTTACAAGAAATAGGTATAAGAAATGAACTCCATTGAAAGAGAACAAATAATAGAGGGAAGCATTTATACTCCAAAGCCTGTTTTTCTTTATCTTCAAGTGAAAAAGACTTCTTCTGCGGTGTGATAAAAGGTGCTAAGTTTCCCGATGGTTGTGCATTAAACATCTCCAAATGTGTCCAATCCAATGAGAGGAAAGTTGCTGGTTACAAGAGCCATGATGCGCACTTTATGCTTCATTATTTGCTCCAAGTTGCTGTAAAGAATACCTTGCCTAAGCAAGTAGCATCGACTTTGATTAAGCTAGGATCCTTTTTTAGGGGTCTATGTAGGAAAGTTCTAAAGCCTAAAGATCTTGACGATCTTGAATCTGAAATCATAGAGATACTTTGCCAACTTGAGAAGATATTCCCCCCCCCCCCCCAGTTTCTTTGACATAATGGTCCACCTTCCACTTCATCTTGTAGAGGAGGTAAGGCTTGGGGGCCCTGTCCAAAGTCGTTGGATGTATCCGAAAGAGCGGTATTTGGGTAAATTGAAGTCATATGTAAAAAATAGAAGTCGACCCGAAGGTTCCATTGCAGAGGCCTACTTGGCAGAAGAATGCCTTATTTTTTGTTCGAGGTATCTTCACGATGAATTTAGTTCAAAGTTGAATCGATCGAGCACCTAGAAATGATGATGATGATACTGCATCTAATGAAGATGGAAGCCTTTTTCCTAATGTTGGACGTCCTTTAGGTGTAAAAAAGAAAAACAAAGGCAAAAAGATTTCTTTAGATGAAGACACTTTGATGAATGCTCATCGCTATGTACTCTTTAATTGTGATGAAATAAGTGATTACATAAGGTCAGTAAGTAAATTTAAATTGGTATTATTTCATATTAACTATATTTAATCTTTGTTATTTATAATTGACTAATACAACTAAGTTGCTTTGTGATATGTATGTAGTGAACATCAAGATTTAGTGAATCGTCAAAGAAGTCAAGGTAGACGGGGTAAGCGGAGTAGGTGGGCGAGAGCACAAGAACACAGTCATGATATTGGAGCATGGTTCAAGGACCGTGTACGGGAAGAAAATGTTTCCAAAGAAATCAAGGCTTTATCCCAAGGTCCTGACTATACTGTGAGAAGTTTTAAAGGGTACCTAATAAATGGTAACAAATTTCATACAACTACACATGAGTCAAAAAGGAAAACTCAATGTAGTGGAGTTAGTGTAACATCTTCAATGTCGAGTTTTGCAAGTTCCAAGGATCAAAATCCTGTTGTTGGGGAGGTCAAATATTATGGAGTGGTGGAGGATATCATTGAGTTAGATTATTTTGGACATTTCAAAGTGGTATTGTTTCGCTATAAATGGTTTCAAGTGGAGCAAGATGAGTTTAGGCTAACATGTGCAAATTTTAAAAGGTTATGCTATACTAATGACCCTTTTGTGATGGCTAATCAAGTAAACCAAGTTTTGTATGTGCAAGATTCCAAAGAAAAGCATTTGCATTATGTTATGGAAACTATCCCCAGAGACTTCTTTAATATGAATGAAGAATCAAATGGTGATGTTGGAGTTTCTTATTGGAATGAATCTGCTAGCGATGGTGTTAGCCCAGGGGCAACTATTGCTGATGACTATGATGTTAGTTGGTTGAGAGAGGACTTGCCTGACACTACTGTTGACGTTCCAGAATACATGTTAGAAATGCAAGCAGAGCCGGAAATTGATGAATCGGATGATGAAATCGAGGACAATACTCTATGGGATTTCATGCAAGCAAGTGAAGATGAAGCTTAGGAAATATGATTGGTCCGTTCTAGGTATTCTGTTTTTAGTAACTTTGAAGTAATAAAAGCTTAGGGATTTTAGCTTAAACAGTTTTGGTTTTGTTTGACTGCAAAATTATTTGTTTTAATGATAAAAAGTTTGGTTTTTTTTTTTTTTTTTTTTTTTTTTTTTTTTTTGTTTTTTGTTTTTTTTGGTTTTGTTTTGGGAATATTTGATATCTTAAGAAGCTCAATTTGTTTGTTTCGGAATAGAATCAGTTAATTGCCCAAATCAAATAATATGAAGTTTCAGTAGTCATATCTCATCTTGGCCATGGTTGTCTGGCTCAAAGCTTCTTGCTTTATTGACTGCATGAACTGTACTTTATTGATTTCCCCCCTTTTATGTCTCACAGGCTTGCAATCGTTACGGGGTTCAGAAACTGCTTTTGGTGCTGGTATGACCTCTTAAACTAGCTTCCGTACTTTGCATGTAATGCTATTAGATCGACTTATGACTGTTGGAGGAGATGTTAAGAGTTTTCTATCAGCCAGCCACACGCAATAGCATGTAGCCACCAGCCTGGAAAGCTGCAGGCATCTGCCAGCTCTAGCAGCAGGCAGTAGACAGTAGACTACAGCAGGCAGCAGCAGCAGCTTGTCGATATTGGAATAATATCATTTCAAGCTTAAATCTGGTAAAAATATGCTGCATTTACGTCCTGCTTAATCAAGCATTTTAGTTTTAGCAGTTTTGATTTGGTTTGATTGCAAAAGTATTGGTTAAATTGGACTTTAGAATACGAATAAGTTTGAGAATTAGATTTTGGAATTAGCATTGGTGTGAGCTAATTGATATTTTTACTGCTGCCATGTCAGATTTTGGAATTATAACTTTTGAGAATTAGATAGATTTTAGGGTGAAATAATGATTTTTTTTTTTTTTTTTTTTTTTTATATATATAAATTTGTTTTATAAACTTGGTTATCTTAAGAAGCATTTCCATGTTCTAAATCAAAGTGAATTGTAATTGTCAAGTTCCAATTTTCATACTAAAGTTCAACTTGTGTATTTGAGGTATAATAAAGAATATAACAATGCTCTCTTGTTTGGGCCCTAGTATGTCATGTTTTCATTTTTTTTTGGGTTTATGTTGCTGTAGCTATTTTGGATAACTCAAACAGACAACAAGTACTTATATTATTTTCTAGTACTACAAGATTGCAGAACGAATTGAAATGGAAGGAAAGGCTGTTTGATTGTCGTGAATCATATTAGTCAGCTTGGACTGCTAGAGAAGCAGCTGCTGAGTATGAAAAACTATTAGAAGTCAGTCTCATTTTAATAATCTATTATCCAGTTTTATTTTGCATTATTGTTATCTTGGTGTAGGGGGTGATATGAATGGGCATGCAGTTGATAAATCAATGTTAACGTTTCTCATTTTATTTATGGTTAGCTGCTGCTTGATTTTTGCAAATTTATTTCTTAGGATGCTTCATATGAACTCTTAAACATGGGCTCTATTGGTATTGTGGACATCAGCACAACATCAGCCCTAGTTATAGTTACATGCTTTCTCATTATCCTTTACAAACTGATGTCTTCTTTGCTCGTTGACCTATTGGTGGTGCTTTCTGCATTGGTGGTGCAGAGATTAGAATTTTTTTCCCTTCCTATAAATTTATATTTTATATATACTTCCTAGTCTTCCCGATAGAAACAAATCACCTTCCTTAAATTATGGTTGTGGTTTCTGAAAAGATTAGAAGCAGACCAACCACTTTAGTACTCTAAACATCTTGCCAGTAAGTCCTAGATAACACTATTTTGTGAAGTATTTCCAGTGAAAAAAGAAGTAGCCCGTATAGATATGGGAAACACATAGTGTGTATTCTGTGATGAATGACTTTAGAAGAATTAATCTAACAGATACATATTTGAAATTGCAAGGTTTTGTTATTGTATATCTGATTATCCACACTTCTATCGATGAGAGCTTCTACATGAGTGCTACATAAGAGCCATTTTGAGCTTTTTATTACAATATTTTCTTGCAGTTTTTGTCCATCACCCCAAATTCTGGAATTTAGTGATTTTATTTAGCCAAACAATAATCATTTGCAGCTCAAAGTAACGAAACCAAAAGTTCTAAGAGTCCACCCCTGCTTAACTTTACCCCCTACCTTACAGAAGATTTAAAGCAAATCAGAAATTTAGGTGGTTTTAAATGTAGCATCGGTCAGATTCTCTGTAATTTGATCCCCGCCATGATTATCATGGATTTGGTAATATATTTGTGATTGTGATATGTATGAGTTTTGTAGAATACATCTATGTGATTTAATAAGCTTACGAATGTTGGAGGAGATATTAAGAATTTTCTAGCTGCCGGCCACCCGCAGCAGCTAGCAGCCAGCAGCAGACAGCTGCTAGTCCCTACCAGCAAGCAGTCGCTAGCCGTTAGCAGCAGCACCAGCTGGCAGCCTGCAGCAAGCAGCAAGCAGCCACTAGCAGGCAGCAGGCAGCAGCGAGCAGCCACTACCAGGCAGCAGCAAGCCGCCAGCTACAGGATGCAGCTAGCCGCCACCAACAGGATGTCGCCAGCGGCAGGCAGTCGCAGGCTGCAGGCAGTAGTAGCAACTCATGTAAAAATATGCTGAATTCTTTCAGCTACTTATTAAAATCAATGTCATGAGTATTTGTTAGATTGGACTTTAAAATTAGAATTAGTTTGACAAAATTTACTTTTAGTGAAATCATGTTGGTAACTAAAATTAGATACTTATATTATAAGATCTTGGGGATTTTGTGAGTT